GAACACCACTCTACGCAATTTCATTTGCGAAGAAAATAAATGAATGGGATTATCGAATATATATCAACCATTCCTTCTATCTTATCTTGATTTGATTGCACTTTTTTCGCACTTAGGAGAGCTATTATATTAAGAGCTTTCTTTCCTACTCAGCTTGGGTCGTAAGTTAGCCGGCCATACCGCTTACATGCTATTGTAATCGGCAAGCCTCCCTTTTAGGGCTGGGAATCTGTCCATAGCGCTAACTGGTATTAGTGATCTTCCTTCCCGTCTTCTCTTAGCCCTTATACGAGGCCTTTTTAAAAGTCGCGATCTGAATAAAAGGAAGTTCGCTGGGTCTTTCTTTTGATCCCATAGGTGCTGGTTCGAGTCCAGCTCGTGACAAGGTCATTTTGGTCATATAGAAGGGTAGACGCCCCCCCTTTTGAAAGGGAGAAGGTTGGGTCATTAGGAGCGGAATCCTGGAGCAGCGAATCAATATTGACAGAGAACATAGAGTTGCATACGGAATGTCGGATGGGAATAGAGCGAATGGGACCAAGTACCCCAGGCTGGATGTAATTCATCAAAAGGGGGATCGATACTTTGCAAATAGCAGTTTCAAAGGCTGAATCTTCCTCTATAGCATTTCTTTCAGAACCTTGGTCCCATCGCTCAATGCTGGCCTGACATCTAATTGCCCTGGGGGAAGGGCCCACTTTTCTATTGTAGTGATGGATGACTTCAAAGTCATTCTTGGGTTAGAATTCTTTCGGGAAACCAAGACCAGTGTGATGCCGAGTACTGGCACTCTTGCGATGCTTGGGAACAAGCCGTGCATGATCCCAGTTCGTTCTGCCAGAGTTGGGGAGAAGAGTCTCTAAGCCCTACGTTTCAGCCCTTTCTTCTTACTTAGAAATGGAATGAGCTGGTTCACTCCCGTCTCTCTATTTAATGTCGGCCTAAGGACTGAACTATTAGATGAAGCTGCTTTTGCTTTACGACCTCTTGAATCGATTCCCCCCTTTAAAGAGATAGATCCCCCTTTCCCTTTCATCTTTCTATTTAACTGGTGATCAAGTATCGACAAAAGATCTTATTAGCTTAGGGGTGTAGCGATAACTCGAGACCTTCCTCTCTTAGGCTTACCAATATTTACTAATTACAGAATCTATGTATTCCTAGATGCCCTCCAAGAGTCATTTCTGTGGCACTCGGGATCTACCACTTATTTAGTTACGATAGGACGACTAATCAAAATGGAGCTTCCTTTCCTGGAAGAGCAACTGAACTTGAACCTTCGCTACCTGGAGCCAGGTATTTCCTTATTATAGATAACGTACGCATAGGTGATCTATTTAATGGGCTAGCTTCACTACTAAGGCTTGATTGCCCTGTGGGAGAAGTTTCATCTTTCTAGGTCGCATTCGATATAGAGAAAAGAAAAGCTATTCTTCTTAGCAGTTGAACAGGAGCAAAAACAGCTATCAATTCTACCTAATCCACTGTTGACCACGGACTGACTCAAGCACCAAGACCTACTGTACTCTTCTTTCGACAACCGGTGAAATGGCTGCTTCTTCTTTGTCCCTCTCGGGAAGTAAAGCGGCCAATAGCATTTATCTTCTCTTTGATAGCAGCTATCTTTCTAAACAGGATAGAAAGATGATAGCCCTAAACAAAGTTGAAACGAAAGGAGCCCTCATCCCCACTCTTGCCATTTCGTCTCCAGTCGCCCAACTCACCCCTTCATTAAGATTTTCTTCTATATCGACCCTTACCACATTTGAGGGATCTGATATAAATATGTCCTGAAGGTTTTGAAATAGGGGTGAAAAAAGGGCCTGGATCGGGTTTAACCAAAATAAAAATGAAAAACCAAACCAAAATAGTATTGGAGAAGCGATAGGAGTGATTATTGCCACCAGTTTACTAGTTGGGATGAGGGGTGCTGTCGGAGAACGAATGCCATAGAAAGGGTGATTCGGAGATAACTTGACAGATCCGAGATTAGAAGTAATCCTACATTCGTGTCGTATCACTCCCCTTTTTTCTTCCCAAATAAGATCTTTCAATCCACCTTTTGATAAAGTCCCGTTGGCCAGCTTGATCCCTTCCCCATCAATAATATGATATAGGCAGCTTTCCCCGATGCTGACTTTGATAAGCTTTATGCCCCTGGACTTTTTCGCGCGGGTTAGTTCCCTTATTAAGTGCTCTCTGAGCTTCAACTGCCCTACCCAGAAAGCCTTTTTTGGTACGGTACTGCTAGCCAGATAGGCGCTTATCGGAATTTCTTTTCTCAGGTTAGGTCTTGGCTCTTTTTTCCTTAGCCAACTATTAGGGGTCCGTTGGATTCTTACGGACAGCCCTAACTGTCGAGCTAAAAATGGCACCATATGGGACCAACTACCTCCTCTCATCCTCTCAACACTACCAATTTATTTCCTTCTTTTAACTTGATGGTTCTCCTTGATAATCATTGTTATTTCTCCTTTTTTGTCTTCTCGGCTGGAATCATAAATGGTGAAGGTACTGGGTGCGTTGCATAATCCGAAAGGCATAACCAACCATTCGTAAAATCCATCCTTTGTTTTAAATGCCGTCTTCCACTCATCTCCCGGACGAATACGAATTTGATGGCTTGAGATGAGATCACTGGTAAACCTTTTCTGCCATGGAAAGATAGAGCTATCCTGACTGCTCAAAAATGTAAAAAATGAAATCCTTCCGCGGTTGGAAGAGAGAGTGGAACCAAGTATTCTTGGTCAGTGGCTGGAACAAGATACTGGTAAAACTTGGAGGCTTGAACGAACTTCTTAATGTTCGGAGATCTTTGGGGACTAACCAATTGCTTTACTTTTCGAGAGAAGGTATATATAAGAGGTTATAGATATATAGGGATATCAGTAACTGGGACCTTTTGTTCTTCAGGCAAATATTCGATTTCATAGAGAGAATCCACTTTAAAAAATCCTTTTCTTTCACCGCTCCCCTCTCCAACCAGTCGAGTTACTTGCGTACCTTTCAGTCTTCAAACCTCTCCTCCAAGAAAATGCTTGAGCTCCCCAAGTTCCTTTATTTGGAAGCGTACTGATAGATTTTCCTTTGTTCGTCGAATTTCCTGTTCGTCATCTCCAGTGATGATAAGATCATCCACGTATACCAACACTATGTCCAGCTTGCCTTCTCGAGCTTAACAAATAGGCTGAAATCTGCAGGCGCCATTAAATATCCACTTTGAATTCAAAATCAAAATTCAGCAATCTTACCGCCCTTGGTGCTTGCTTTAACCCGTACAGAGCTTTTCTCAATTTACACACGTAATCAGGGTGAGCTTTACTCTCGAACCCTTGTGGCTGCTCCATGTAAATTTATCGATCTAATTCTCCATGTAAGAAAGCATTCTTCACGTCCATCTGCCACAACTTCGAGGACTTGCTTGCTGTAAGCGCTAGCAGGACACGTACGGTTGTAATCTTTGCCACTGGACTGAAAGTTTCATCATAGTCCAGACCGTACTGCTGTGAGAACCCTCGTGCCACTAGGCGAGCCTTATCCCTTTCGATCGAACCATCTTGGCCTGTCTTCACCTTATAAACCCATTTGCAAGATATGGCTTTTACCTCCTTGGGCTTAGCCACTAAGTCCCAAGTTTGATTCTCTTTCAAGGCTATACTTCTTCCATCGCCTTCTGCCACTCGACACTCTACGACGCTTCTGCATATGTTGACGGCTCTATCACTCGATTCTCTTCGCCCAATGCGGCATTGGCATACTTAGGATTTTGTTTCCGTTGCCTGGCGGATCTTCGGAGCTGTGGTTGTGGCCTAGCTTCTTCTCTAGATACTTCTTGTTGAACATCTTCAGAAGTTCTTTGATGCAGACACTTCAGCAAAGTTGGAAAATCTTGTGTAGATCTTTGATTTAGCTATTTCTAAAGCTGAAAACTTCAGATCTTAGACGACCCTCTTCTTTATTCCTATTACTATGGTGAGTTTGTACAGATGCGGGAGCGACTATGATTTTGGCGATCTGAAACTTTTTCAAAAGCTGGTCCCAGAATCACCACTTCCGCAACTGGACTCTCCAATTCCAATCGATCCAAAGTCTACGAAAGCAAATTGGAGACATTGAAAACTCGCTACTGACATTCACATTCACCTTTCGTCATAGGCCTATGTGGACACTGATAGATCCGCTAGAAAAGAAAGAGCTAAAGAGAGTTGCTTACTACGAAAAGCAAGGTCATTTTCATTCCCACAGTCGGCTTACCAGGGAATGAAAGACTTCAGTAAACCTGCTGGCCTTGTTTTAAGCAATCCTCACGAATAGCTCCTGTTCTTTCTTCCGTTCCACTGCGTTCTTGATGCGGGTAGCCAAGTGTGAAGCAGACTTAATCATCTCATCTCTTCGCACTGTCTCGTCTGCGAGCTTATTCTTCTTTCGCTCCAGTTCCCGACTTGCTTCCGATAGTTGGACAATCAGCTGCGGTATCTTCTCTTTAAGATTCGCGATATAAACCGGGAGCCGATCCAGGCTCGTAGTCCTTCACGTCCAGATGCCACCTCTTCGGCCGTACAATTCTTAGGCAAGCAGCAGAACGAGGCACTCCTTGGTTTTCTAAATCGCGTCCCTGCGTCCTGGGATAGAAGCAAAGTAGTGATGATCATCCAAAGGTTCTTAATAGGTATGATCAGAGGCTGGAGCATTAGGCATTTCGTCGAGGAGGCCATCGCAGGCTCTAACATCCGAAGCTAGAGTGGTTGCTGAGTTAGAACATCCATATTCACGTCCGAGCCCTATAAAGTCAGGAGCCCGATTCCAGATCCGAAGCAGCAGCAGCCACCTCCGAAGTATGACATTCCTGTGGAAACCTCCTCTGCTTACGGTGAAGCTCCACCTTTCTGTCTTTATTTACGTAATTTCTTTCTTATCTAGTCGTCTGACCGTTCCAACATCCTCCTTTCTAACAGTGGTAACAATTTCCTTTCGAATTCATCCAAACATATTCTGATCAT